TTGTTGCTTTAAAGTCTATTTTATCAGACACCAGAATTGCAACTCCTGCTTTTTTTCCTCTCCGTTTGCTTGGTAAATCTTCTTCCATCCCTTTATTTTGAGCCATTGTGTATCCTTGGATGTGAGATGGGTTTCCTGGATACAGCACACCATTGGGTTTTGGCTTTTTATCCAATTTGCCAGTCTGTATCTTTTGATTGGGGCATTTAACCCATTTACATTTAAGGTTAATATTGTTATATGTGAGTTTGATCCTGCCATTTTGATGTTAGCTGGCTGTTTTGCCCATTAGTTGATGCAGTTTCTTCATTGTGTTGATGCTCTTTACCATTTGGTATGTTTTTGGAGTGGCTGGTACTGGTTGTTCCTTTCTGTTTAGTGCCTCTTTCAGTAGCTTTTGTAAAGCAGGCCTGGTGGTGAAATCTCTGAGTACTTGTTTGTTCTTAAAGGATTTTCTTTTTCCTTCAGTTATGAAGCTTAGTTTTGCTGGATATGAAATTCTGGGTTGAAAGTTCTTTTCTTTAAGGATGTTGAATATTGGCCCCCTCTCTCTTCTGGCTTGTAGGGTTTCTACTGAGAGATCTGCTGTGAGTCTGATGGGCTTCCTTTTGTGGGTCACCTGAGCTTTATCTCTAGCCGCCCTTAGCATTTTCTCCTTCATTTCAACCCTGATGTATCTGACAATTATGTGCCTTGGCGTTGCTCTTCTTGAGGAATATCTTTGTGATGTTCTTTGTATTTCCTGGACTTGAATATAGGCCTGCCTTGCTAGGTTGAGGAAGTTTTTCTGGATAATGTCCTGAAGAGTATTTTCCAGCTTGGATTCATTCTCGCCATCACATTCAGGTACACCTATCAAATGTAGATTAGGTCTTTTCACATAGTCCCATATTTCTTGGAGACTTTGTTCATTCCTTTTTACCCTTTTTTCTCTAATCTTGCCTTCTCTTTTTATTTCATTGAGTTGATTTTCGACCTCTGATATCCTTTCTTCTGCTCGGTCAATTCAGCTGTTGAAACTTGTATATGCATCATGAAGTTCTCGTGTTGTGTTTTTCAGCTCCATCAATTCACTTATATTCCTCTCTAAGTTGTTTATTCTCATTAGTATTTCATCAAATCTTTTTTCAAGGTTCTTAGTTTCTTTGCATTGGGTTAGAACATGTTCTTTTAGCTCACAGAAGTTTCTTATTACCCACCTTCTGAAGCCTGATTCTGTCAATTCATCACACTCATTCTCCATCCAGCCTTGTTCCCTTGCTGGTAAGGAATTGTGATCCCTTGTAGGAGGAGAAGTGTTCTGATTTTGGGTGTTTTCATCCTTTTTGTGCTGGTTTCTTCCCATCTCTGTGTATTTATCCACCTGTCATCTTTGTAGTTGTTGACGTTCAGATGGGGTCTCTGAGTGGATGTCCAGTTTGTTGATGATGAAATTATTACTTTCTGTTTCTTAGTTTTCCTTCTACCAGTCAGGCCACTCTGCTGTAGGACTGCTGAGGTCCACTCCAGGCACGGCTTGCCTGGGGATCACCTGCAATGGCTGCAGAACAGTAAGGGTCGCTGCCAGTTTCTTCTGCTATCTTTGTCCCAGAAGGATACCCGCCTGATGTCAGTCTGATCTCTCCTTTATGAGGTGACTCTTTGGATATACGGGGGTCAGGGAGCTGCTTGAGGAGACAGTCTGTCCTTTATAGGAGCTCAAGCGCTGAGCTGTGATCTCTGTTGTTCATTCACAGTTGCTGGGTAGGTACGTTTAAGTCTGCTTCAGCTGAACTCATAAAACTGCCCCCCCTTTTTCCCCAGATGCTCTGTCCTAGGGAGTTAGGGCTTTATTTATGAGTTTCTGTTGTGCTGCTGCCTGTTTTCAGGGCTGCCCTGCCCAGTGAGGAGGCACCCTTGTCACTGTCTGTCTGCAGAGGCTTTGCTGAGCTGCTGTGGGCTCTGCCCAACTGCCGTGTGAACTTCCCTGCAGTCCTGTTCATACGGGTGTTGTTAGAACTGCTTCAGCAATGGCAGCCCACCTCTGTAATGGCATTCTCTCTCTGTAATGGCAGGCTTCCTTGGCAATGGTGGGTTGCCTCAGCAATGGTGGACTACCTCCATAGTGGAGGAGTGCCTTGGTAATGGCAGACGCCCCTCCCCCACAGAGCTGGACTGTCTGGGGTTCAGCTGTGCTTGCTGTGAAACTCTCAATCCAGAGCATTTCAGATTGTTGTTCTTTTATAGGAGTGGGACCAGCCGAGCCTGATCACCTGGCTCCCTGCCTCAGAGCCTTTTTTTTTTTTTTGTCTCCCAGGTGTTCCAGTCACCTGTTGAAATGGCACCAGGATCTGTGTGATTTCCTTTGTGGCAACCCACTGTGCTGGCTGAAACGGCCATGCTGAGATTCTTGGCACTTTTTTGCCTGGCAATCTCCTGGTCCAGCTCCCTGTTCAGTCCCCTTTTTTATCAGTTGAATGGGTGACTCTGTCTTCATTGAGCTCCAATCACCAGCTAAAATGGTGCCTGGATCCATGTATTTTGTTCGGAGAACAGCCACGCTGGGGTGCTGGCCAAAACAACTGCGCCAGCTGAAACAGCTGCAGTGGCCAAAACAGCCGGGCTGGCAACCTGTGAGGCTCCTCTGCCTGGGAATCTCCTTGTCTGTGGGGAATAAAAATTTGTCTGGAAATGCGGCATCCACTCACCCTCTGTGCTTTTGCTGGGAGCTGCAATCCTGAGCTGCTCCCAATCAGCCATCTTGGATCCATCTGACTAAAAATTTTCCTATTAATACCCTTTGTTCTTTTTCTGTTTTTGGTTTCTCATATTATTAATTTGTAGAAATTCTTTATGTATTCCTGAATATATAATACAAATAGATGTTGCTATATCTTCTCCCAGTCAGTTGCTTGTCTTTTCACTTTATTTTTTTAAGGAAGGGTTATGTGGGATTTTATATTTTTATGTAATTGAATTTATTAATCTTTTTTCTTTATGGTTTGACTTTTTGTATCTCATTTAATAAATTGTTTCCTACTCTTAGGTCATAATGATATACGACTATATTTTCCTGCCAAAGTTTCATAGTTTTTTTATATTTAAGTATTTTAATCCATGTGGATTTTAGTTTTTATATACAATATAAAGTAGGGATATAAATTATTTGTATATATATTTCCATTTGGAATCTGTGTTTTAGAATTATTTATTTTGATTATAATGCACCTTTATATGTAAGTGTGTGCATGTGTGCATGTGTGTGTATACATGTATAAACGTGTATATATGTATGTGTGTGTGTGTGTGTATATACATAAATTATATGTATGAAATTGTCTGTTGTTGGGCATGGTGTCTCACCACTGTAATCCCAGCACTTTGGGAGGCTGAGGTGGGAAAGATTGCTTGAGCTCAGGAGTTTGAAACCAGCCTGGGCAACATGGTGAAACTCTGTTTCTATACAAAATACAAAAATAGGCTGGTATGATGGTTTGTACCTGTAGTCCCAGCTTGGGAGCTGAGGATCACTTGAGCCTGGGGGGTTGAGGCTGCAGTGAGCTGTAATCATATCACTGTACTGCAGCCTGGGTGACAGAGTGAGACTCTGTCTCAAAATAATAATAATAAAAGCAGAACAAGCAAAATGAATACATAAATAAAGTTTCTGTTCTCTTCCATTGATCTGTTTGTCTATTTCTGCCCTAATACTCACAGTTTTAATAGTTGCAACTTAACTGTAAGCCTTGATATCTAGAACAGTAAAATTCCCCTCCTCCTCTAACTTCTTTAAAATTATCTTGACTATTATTCGCCTTTTGCCATATTTTTGCATGTTTTAACATAATTGAGAACATGTTATATATACAATTTCATAACCTGCTACTTTTCACTTAACTTGATAACATATGCATTTTCAAATGTTATCAAAACTCTTGACATTTAAAACAGCTCATGCTATTTCCCTGTGTGTGCATCGTATTTTATTTAACCATTCCCATATTGCTGGATAGTTGTTTTATTTCTGTATTTTCTTATAAATAATAGTACCATAATGAACATCTTTGTTTATAAAGTTTTTCCCCATCTTTAGGATGATTACACTAGAATATATTCTCATAAATTGAATATAATTAAAATTTTATTATTAAGAGAATTAAAAATTCTCCCCAGGAATTTTTGAGACTGTGCATTTAACCATGTCTTTATTAGCACTGGGTATTCTTATTTTTTAATTGAAAGACAAGCTCATCTTGTTTAATAATTTTGCCTCTAGCTGGCTTTGAAAAGACCAACTTTTCTAATAATATTGAGCAATATTCCTAAATATTGAGGAAGGAATACGCTAACAATAATTATTTGCATGGGATAACATTTCAATGATAAAGAGAGAAGGGCCTAAAGAAATTAATCCTGAGTGACTCTTCTATTTTCATATCAGGAATGAGGATATTTCTGTTGATTGAACTAACTATTCTCATTTCTTCCCCATGTTTCCTGATTACATATGCAGATTTTAGAATATAGGGCTTTTTGACAGATTACTTAAATCCCAGTGAGGTGGAACAGCATTTAGATTGTTTATAATGACTATCATCAGTGGCAAATTAGTTTAGTCTGTCTCAGTTTATTCTGTTTGACAGCTTCATGTTTATTTCACACCACAGAGGCTGAAAAAGAAAACGGTGTAAAAGAGAACTTGTTTTATTTGTCATTTAATTAAATGAATAATAAAGAATGTCTTTAGGACCCTGTCCTGGCCACAAAAAGAAGCTGAACCTGAAAGATGAAGCCAATTAGAGTTTCTTAGTAGGTTTGCTTTACTATTTTGTTTCTGACACACTAACTCCTTTTTTATTGAATTCTGTTAAGTTTGTGTTTTTCTAGGAAGGAAATTTAAGAAATAGACAACTCATGGTAATTGCATGATTGTTTGGCCTTTAGAATGTATTATCTGTGACCCATATCTTCTAGCCATGAGTTTGAAAAATGATGCACTTCGACCTGTTACTTATTATAATTAAAAGGTTAAGAATATTTTTAAGAGTGCTGCCGTTGTGCAGGTGCCACATGCTAATCTTCTTTGTATCATTCCAATTTTAGTATATGTGCTGCCAAAATGAGCACAAGAATCGTTTTGTTTCTGCAAATTTGCTTCTTGATGATCTTCTTGGATACTATCTTTTCTTTAGGTTCAACAGATGTTTTGTTCTAGGCCTGTCTGTTTCACCAGCTTCTAATCAGTGTCTCTAATTAGTGCAAAGTAGGGTTGGTAGCATAAATGGAACACAATAAGAAAAAGGGATTTATTCATAGGAAACATGTTATAATTTCCTTCCAATAATCTGGTTTCACAAAGAGAACATGGGTACCTACATGGGACTGGACATTTATCAACATGGAAAAACAGCCATTTACCAAACTCAACGGCACAAGGGGTAGTGTAGAGAAGAGATTAGGAGAAGGGCTGCCTGTACCAGAAACTGCCTGGGTTTGTACACTGATACCACTATATTCTATTGTGTGACCTTGATCAAGTTTTTTAATCTCTCTGTGCTTCAGTTTGCTCATCTGTGAGATAAAGTTGTAAAGATTAAATGAATTAACATTGTATACATTGTTTGACACATATAATTACACAGTAAATATTTGTGATTATTATTAGTTTCTATCTGGAACCTTGAACAAAGTCCAAAGGTGTTGAACACATTGGGTCTCAGGGAGACTTCTGGGGCCTCAGTCTATTCTGAAGGAATTAGATGATAATGTCACACATTGAGTTGCCTTGGAAGAAGCCTCTGAGATTAGCATGTAGGAATGGTTCTGAGATTAGCACCAGGGACTGTTCTTGGGATTATCCCCCGGGGAAGGGAAAAAGCAGATTGGGTGGAGGGAGTAGTTGGGCTGTAATGTCTCAAGAAATCCCTCAGCTAGTCACATGGGAGTCTGAAACTAGTATGGCCCTTCAGAGTTGTTCTGAGTTGGGGCTAGAGGTGGAGGCCTTTATAATCCTGAATCAACCAGTCAGTGGCTGTGTGCTTCCTCAGGAAGCTGGTGTGACCTTGGGAGCAGAAGGTTCTGGAATCCAAGGTGGTTCTGGAAGAGGGCTGGCAGCTGAGGACAGAATGTCGGCAGTATTCCCAGCAACTGGGGGAATAAACTCCTCAATCCTGAAGGCTTACCAGGGTGGTACGTCATAGTATCCACTGTAGTCAGAGTTCCCCTGTGAACTTTGAGGTCACTGAATCCCACCTCACCTCTCAGTCCTTTCCCATTTGCTTATGTGGTATTTAAGCCACCTCTACATGTCTACCTTACTGCACTTTGTCCCAATTGATTCATTCTTCCACAGCTACTCCTCCTGTGGACCTTTAACCTTTTTGTCACTGTTATCCACTGTTTTTCCCTGACCTCCTGGTCAGATCTTCACATTCATTTGGGACCCTGACCCCTGACCCACAGTATTCCTCTTCTGTTTAGCTCTGCTCCCATTCTAGGCAACTTCTCCATGTAAATGGCCCAGTTAATAACACATTGGTTTCATAGTTCTTCATCACCCAGAGTAAGGCAAGTTCTTTCCATCATCATTACTCACTGCAGGTCAAGCCAACTCTATTTCTCAGGCACTTGCCTCTCCAGAGCCACATGTGCCCCACTCAAACCTGTTCTGCAGCACTTGGAGTGTTCTTAAGACATGGAGGATATCTTTCCTGCCCTGCTTAAAACGCATAAGTGACTTTCTTTTGCATATAGAATAAACCCTTAACCCACAGTCTGCAAGGCTGTCTATGTCCACTTCTCTAGTTGTATCTTGCACCACTCTCCACAGTGTACTCTGCATTCTGACTGTACTGACTTTCTAAGTTATTTGAAAACTCCATGATCCTCTTGCTGTCTTTGCATGTCCATTACTCTCCATCTCTAATAAGCCCCCACCTCATCACCTAGTCAATACATGCGCCATACTTCAGGAGCCATTGAATCATCTCTCCGCTAAGGAAGAATTCCCTGACTCTCAAGACTGTATGGGAGCTCCTATTACAGGCTCTGGAAATACATTTCCTTTTCCTAGTACTTAGAGCAAACTGTAGTGGAACATTTGCATGGTTTTGATTAATATTTGTCTTCTCCTCTAGCATATCTGGAAGTGCTTGCCCTCAGATCTATTTCTTACACTTTCTTTGTTTTGAACCCTGCTGCAGGCCATGGTTCCCAGGCTCCTGACTCTGTGAGCTTCAGGCTGGGTTTGCCTAGTGTCAGGCAATGGCAAGAAATTGGGGATTGGGAAGAAGAAGGAAGATGATTTCTTGCTTTGATTTTCTGCTTTGGACTGTAGCTCCAGCAGCAGCTCTCTTCCCTGTGGACCCATCTCCTCTACACAGACCAATCTTCTGGTAGGTGGCCCCAGCCCTGGGGCTCCACTAATATAGTCTCTTTCCTTTGTCCTTCTACCTAGGGGTGATAATGGCTTCCTGCTGTTATTCTCTGGGTACTTGCTTCCCTGTTTGACTTCTCAGCTTCTCCATCCCAATACCCTGCATTAAATTCCCTCCATAGAAAAGATTTGAAGTGGTTCCTGTTTTCCTGATTAGACCTTGACTGATGTATACCTTCTCTCCCCTCCAATTCAGCAGAAAACTCCTTGAGGGTAGGACCTGTGTTTATTTTTACTTATTGAGGTATAACTTGGATCCAGCACAGAGACTGGAAGGAATCTCAACAGCAGTGTAAGAATCACTGGGAGTTCCTATCCAGTGATTTGTACACTGGAGTCACTGGGAGTCCTATCCAGACTATTTTGTGAAATCTCAGATACTAACATAACACAGTCTGATGGCAATTTCAATCTTCTGACTTTTTCACTCTTTACTTTCACCACAGCTGAAAAACAGTTGTATAGAAAATATAGAAGCAGAATTTATAGATGTTTTTTTATAGCAATCTTTCACCAGAAAATTACTATAATATGTATTTTAATGTGTATAATAATGTGTACTTCTTTGTCTTTCTTTCTTTTCTTCCTTCATCTCACCATTTCCCCCTCTATTTTCCTTCCTTCCTTCCTTCCTTCCTTCCTTCCTTCCTTCCTTCCTTCCTTCCTTCCTTCCTTCCAACTTCCCTCCTTCCCCCTTCCCCTTTCCCCGCCTCCGGTTCTTTCCCTTCCCCTCTCTTCCCTTTCCCTGCCCTCCCTTCCCCTCCTTTTGCCTCCCCTCCCCTCCCTTCCCTTCCCCTCCCTTTATTCCTTCCTCCCTCTCGTCCTTCCCTCCTCTTTCTGTCTCCAGTTTTCTCTGTTGTTTTTGGAGTTGAGCCCAGTCTCTCTCCTCCACTGCAAAACCCCATTGCAGTGGCCCCTACATCTCTCATGATGGTCCTGAATGAAGTCTGTCTTACTGTTCTTTACCAAGTGTCATGAACAATTTTTTCTTTCACAGATGACAAGGTAAATTAATTAACTAAGGAAAAACCCCAGAAGGAATACAATGCTGGGGGTGGGTGGCTGGAGTTTAGTTTTAGCTTTCGCATTTAATATAATATCAGTTGCAAGCTGTGATTTGACCTAAGCCATTTTGTTTTTGCATAACTGTGAGGTTTTTTTTGGGGGAAGGGGTTGATAACAGTAACCATCAAAAAGTCTAAGGTGGACAAGGGCCAGCTGTGCTCCTATATACTGATATCAGGTTACATTAACAGCAAGTCCAAGTCTTAAGAACAATTTCTCCCCCCACACAGATTTTATATATAAGAATTTATTAGCAAGCAGTCACAAAAATCATTAGTATCAACTGTTTTGTAAAGTCGATGGAACCTTACACTCTGTCCTGTTAGCTGTCACCACGACACCTACTGTGTATTTATAAAAATTAAAAAAATTTAAAAGTTAGTTGCAGAAAAAATAGTTCTCAGTAGAAATTTGAAATAAATGATATGGAGGGGTAAAAGTCTTATTTACTGATATTTATTTAAACCTTCCACTCTCCAAAAAGAATTTAAAGTGGCTTAGAGGGAAGAATAAAGATACATGTGAAATGTTCACAAAATAAGAATCAAGAGGAAAATTGTACCATAAAAGAAAAAGGGTAGAAATAAATATGCCAACCATAAAACTCCTAAAAAGATTTCCAATTCAGATTTTTTTCCCAAGCACCAGTTTCACATATCCTGTTGCCTATTGGATTTGAATTAGGATATTTGTACTTTAAGACAGGGTTGAATGTATGTTTGCATTAGTAAATTTAGGTGTCACCTTAAGTATTTTCAGTTGCCCAAACCAGAAATCAGCATCTGAAGTGGGGTCAGCTAGTGCTGTAATCAAGAAGCCCAGCTCCAGCACTATACAGATGTACTAGTAGATGTACTTCTCAATCTTTTTCTTTGATCAACATCAGAGCTTTAGTAATAATTAACATAAAGAATGTTAAAAACAGAGTTTCACTGATAAAATTCATAACCCAGAGGATGTTAGCAATGAGATCTCAATGGAGAAATTAGTGAGATTTTACTGGTATTTACTGAATAAAGCATGTACTTCCGAGACACTCCTCTCCTTCACAAGTCAGAGTGTAAGAAGACTGCTAAGTCCGTAGTCTCAATCTTTATGGACAGTACTTGAGATTTGGTATCTAAGTAGTCTTTTGTCTAGTCACTGGGACTGAAGACTCTAGATACCTAATGCATTTGCCACAGGTGAACTTTTTTTTTTTTTTTGAGATGGAGTCTCACTCTGTTGCCAGGCTGGAGTGCAGTGGTGCGATCTCTGCTCACTGCAGTCTCCACCTCCCAGTTCAAGCAGTTCTCCTGCCTCAGCCTCCCGAGTAGCTAGGACTAGAGAGATGTGCCATCACACCCAGGTAATTTTTGTGTTTTTAGTAGATATGGGATTTCACCATGCTGGTCAGGATGGTCTTGATCTCTTGACCTCAAGATCCACCTGCCTCAGTATTCCAAAGTGCTGGAATTACAGAAATGAGCCACCGTGCCCCACCAGGTGAACTTTTCATGACAGTGTCCGTCTAGAACCATGGCACCTACTGGTGTCATCCCACTCTGGCATGCACTTATTTTTAAAATTTTTTATTGCATTTTAGGTTTTGGGGTACATATGCAGAACATGCAAGACAGTTGCATAG